ACTGTTCCTGCTGTTCAAGTTGCTGTAATTGTTGAAGAAGCACAATTTCACGTTCATGTCTATGGGAGGCCAATTGCAATGAATATTCTTTACATTTTTTACTACGAACGAACAGACCGTTATTAAACCAATCGATTTCTTCCAGAACAGAGTGCTTATGCATGTGCCAAAAGGGCCAACAATCCTTCAAGTATTTTAGAAACGACTTATGTTGGAGAAGGGAAACATTTAACTTGTAAAAGCCCGGTCCCCGGTCCGGCTTCTTACGAAACGACAAAATAATCGAGCACATCTTATGGTCCAGTCCTGGGTATGGACTTTGTGGCAAAATAGCCGCTAAAAGCAGCGCCCCTTGCAAGTCCTCAAAAATAACGATAAGATCTATCCTGGATCTTGTACAACCCTCTGTCCCCATTTTTCGCAGACAGGAGTAAAAGCGCGTATCCGGGTGAAGGTTTCGGAATGTATCAAAAACCTTGAAGGATGAACACAATTCCCTGATAATCCGCTCATCTTCCTCTATAAAAGACGGGGCGGGGGATGGAGTTTTCCACCTATCCATCCATCGGTTTGGGGGGGCATTAAAGTCATCTGTTATAATGACCGGTATTCCGGCCGGAATCTGTGCTCTAATATTTTCAAAAAAAGCTCTCCTCTCCCCCACCCCATTGCGGGCGTACACACAGATAATACAGACCACTTTCAATTCGAGCATTGCCAAGACCGACACCCATCTACCTTTCGCCTGGTCAACCACCCAGTGAATCGGTTCCGCGCGGGACCCGGGGGGAATCCAAATGGCGACACCCGCACTCCCTGGTTTCGGGGCGTGTGCTCTAAAGGCTCTATGCGGCCAGACCAATTTATGTACCTGATTGTGTTCCGGCGAGACTGTAAGGTGTGTTTCCTGGACACAGATTATGTCTGGCCAAGTCCTACCTCCCACCCCTCTAATGAGGTCCCAGATCGCTTGCCGATTCTCCGGTTTACTCGTGGCCAACCCATTGACATTGAGGGAGCGCAAGTCTAGGTCCGCCGCTCTCTGACACTGGTTCCAAATCTTATCTTTGTCGTATACCGCCTTAACTGGGTTCATCATTTCTCCACAAAATTTTAATCCATTTTATCTCAATCACTTGGCTTCCCATAACTTTTCCCACCTTGGTCGTTCCTCCTCCTTGCCCTTTGTATCTATCAGCAAACCCTTCTCAGTGTTCTCACCATGGCACACAGGCCCTTCAGCACATCCAGTTCTGTCCATGTCTCATTAGATTCAATCCTAGCAATCTGAAGGTCCAGCAATTGACTGCGGGAAAACCATTGCATGCCCGCTTCCTTAGTCTGATCGAAGCGGATAAACACGTCCCTCTGCGAGATTCTGGTGGATTCTGACTCAACCATGCACATGGCCTGTGCCCCCGGCTCAAAGGATTCAGCAATGTATGATGACAGGTTCAATTTCAGCAGTTGTAAAGCTGCTTCCGAATGTTGATTACACGGATCGGCCCGGAAGGATGACCACCCATGCAGAGTGACCCCCCCTTGCTGACCTCCTTCCACAGGGGATAGTCCAACCTCCCACCTCCCTTCCTTCTTGCGCATCGATATAATCATCATTGCGTCTCGCGATAAAGGCCCCATACCCTGACCTCTTTCCATTAAATGCCTAAGTCTCCTCTTCCGCATCTGATCTATTGACATGTCTTCGTTGATATCGGGTGGGACTGGGTCCGGGGGAGGAAGCGGGGAATCCCCCAGTGGCGAGGCCTCCACATCCACAGGTGGTACGGTCTCTGGTACCATGGTCACCGGCAGGCGAAACCGGGTAAGAACAATAGAGGCTAATCCATGCCACGCCTCCCCCCAGGTCATACGGGAAGAGCTCAAGATATTTCTTGTCCCAGAATCCATCGGAAACCGGGCCATATTTTGCTTTCAGGTTAACCGCCAGTCAGCTACCGCAACCAGTTTTTGTTTCATGGGTATGTGCAACGGTGGGGCCTCCTCTTTTCCATCTGTTCCGAACTGCAGGCCCTCCGGAGGCGTGTATTCGGTATCCGGAAGTGGGTCAATGTCCATCGGCACCGGGCCAAATGCCACACCAAATGGGTCCTCAGGGGCCTGTTCTACAAGCGAGCGGTCCCTGCCACTATCTTCCACCATGTGTACCACCTCCCGAACATATCCCTCCGCCCCGGGGCCTATAGTGTTTTGCGTACCAATTCCCTTCAAGGGCACAGTCTCCAGCGAGCGGTCTTCCACCATGTGCACTACCTCCCAAACGTATCCCTCCGCCTCAGGGCCTATAGAGTTTTGCGTTCCAATTCCCTTCGGGGTCACAGTCTCCTCCCCTGCCCCCCCATGCATCGCTACCATATGTGCATCGTCCGGGGGGTCTTTTGGGACCCAGACTTGTTTTCCCCCTTTCTTCCCAACTGTTTTCCAACCCATATCCTCATCGGAGGCCCTCAACGGGGGACCCTCCTTATGTAGCTTATCCTCCACCGGTGCTGGGGGGATCCATGTGTCTGGGGGGCGAGTTTCCCGAACTGGTTCTCCCATCTTTTCCCACACCCAACCAATCGGGGTACCATCCTTCGAGTGCTCTTCAACGCAAACCCAGGCTTTGTGACCCGGGTCTACCGTCCTCCAACGTGTAGCCTTAATTGGATCCCTCAACAGTCTTCCGGTTTCCCTCACTCTCCTCTGGGGGTGCAGGGGACAAGAATATTCGATGCACAGATGACCGTACGCACGACATTTATAGCACCATGGCCTCATCTTGTGCGCTGTGTGGATCAAGTATTCCCGTCCCCCCACCCTATAGGGGATTACATCGTCCAAAGAAAAGGGTTGGCCTTGGGGAAAATCCAGGGCCAACATAAGGTAATTATCTCGCTTGGCGACAAAGATGGGAGAGGGTCGATGAACGAGACAATGTCATACAGCTGGGCAAAGTCGTGCACGAAGGCAGCTTGGATTTCTACTGGGATATGACGAAATTCGACCCAGTAGAAATCCGGCATCAGCTGCATCCTTCTCCTCCGGCCCTAAGCGTCAAGACACGTGTGATCACGCAGGCGGTCAAGCAGGTCATGGTGAAAGCCTACCCCGACAAAGGGCTGGGCGACAGAGATGCACTATATGCTAAACATGCGAAGAACTGGGTGTTTCATAACGATGCGGTGTTCAAATCAGTGAATGATAAAGTGAAATGGATTGCCTGGCGTCTGGAGCTCCTGAAAATGGCACAGAACTGGCCCGTGATCAGTTCCTCATCCAACCCGTCTTCAACATGCTATTCATACGAACTTCCGAGCGGTCGCAACGCAGGCGTTTCCAGTTGTCTATCTCATACATGCACAAGACCGTGAATAGCGAGTTGGAGACGGGTTGGATGAGGAACTGATCACGGGCCAGTTCTGTGCCATTTTTCAGGAGCTCCAGACACCGGCCAATCCATTTCACTTGATCATTCACTGATTTGAACGCCGCATCGTCATGAAACACCCAGTTATTCGCGTGTTTAGCATATAATGCATCCCTGTCGCCCAGGCCTTTGTCGGGGTAGGCTTTCACCATGACCTGCTTGCCCCCCTGCGTGATCCCACGTGCCTCGGAGGGCTGCGGCAAGCGGGACATGAAGAAGGTCCGAGCCGGTGACAGACTGTCCAAGGGGATGGTCAAGTTCCCGGACCGCGGGCTTCCTTGTCCACGATCTATGGTCAGCGTTCGATTGCTGTCCGGGTTTCTGACCCTGTCCGCCCAGGACATGGTTTCTGTCGAAGGTTCATTCCTTGCGGAAGGGGAGACACTCACCATCTGTTCCGGAGTCCGGGCCCCTGGCTGCTGCAGTTTAACCTGTCTCTGTTCCTCTTCTGTCAAGATTCCATGTCCTCTTGCAAGGGGTTGGCAGGAGCAGAGGCAGTCTGCCAGTCCCGGCTTTTATGGGACCGTATTGCTTGTCGGATGTGCTGGTCTGCCAGCTGCCTCATAGCTCTGCTGTAAAAAAAGCATTGAATCCAATCTTTTATGAGCTCTCTGCCTACGAGCAAAAACTTCCATTGGTTCCATCCAAAATCAATCAATGTCTGTATGAAATCCTTTGTTGTTGTTTTTTTTTTAATGGTTTTTTCTTTTTTTTTTGTGTTTTATTGGAGTACTGGATATGTATATATATGTTTGGGGTAACCGTGTTTACAAATTTTTATGCACCTTAGTCACACTATTTTTCCTCGTTTTCTTTTTCTTCCCCTCCCCCCCTTTTTTTTTTACCTATTCCTTCAATTAGTCATACATATCGTTTATGTTTTGTTTGTTGATTTTCCTTTCCAACCAGGTTATGCCTCTATTCCCAGGGATTGGCGGGGATGAGTGTGTTATTCACCCCCTACCTGCCTCTTGCCACTCCCCCTCTTCCAACGCCCCCTCCCCCCTCCCTAAACTACTACTTCAAACATCCTACCCCTCTCTTTCGATAGAACCCCCTCTCCCATTCGCACTACCAATACGTCGGCTCCCCCGTCACTCTTGCTCGCGATCAGTCAGATCTCACCTGTAACCACCCTCCCACCCCTCCGATTCCTTCAATTTGCTCTTACCCTTGTACTACTGATGTTTCTTCCCAACCTCATTCTCCAATCACTACCTCTTCCTTACGAAGACTAGACATCACCCCCCAGCATTCAGGGTTTCTCTCCCATTCGCACTTCCCGTACCCCCCGTCACTCATGCTTGCAATCAATCCAATCACACCTGTACCCTTGTAATATTGACATTTCCCCACAATCTCACTCTCCAATCACTCAACAGACCCCCCCATCCTCCTTCGTACCGGATGAACGCCCATCCCAGCACCCCAAGCTAAATACCCAAATAGAGATACGTACCTTGTTTATGCCCCCTCCCCCATTCCAACCATCATACCAAGGCCGTTCACCTCTCGCCAAACTTGCCTGTAGCCATTATCGAAGAAGTCGACCCTCATGCAATCCTTCTCGCCTGAATCGCCTCGTTTACTCGATTACACAGTGACCCATCTCGTATACTCCTTCTCGTCCGATTTCCGGTGTCAATCTCCCAAACTGCGTCATTCCTTCGGCTCACCCTATGTGATCAATTGCACACTCACTCCCCTATTCACACTGCCCGACCCATCCACTCACTCGCAGCACACGTATTCCGACCGTCCTATTAGCTCTATCTCCACTCCCACATCCCACATTGCCCGTACTCCCTGTCCCCGCCTACTTTCTAAGAGCCCCTCCTCCACGTCTACATCTCGATCGTCACTCAACCGTCTTTTACCCTGCCCCCACAACCCCCTTCACGTCTCCTCTCTGCGTAACAGGGTTCGAGCGTTACTCCGCTTCGTCGCGCTTCCCCAAGTCTGAAGTTGAAGAATGCCAGTCTCACACGAATTCCTTGTCTCTCTTCCCAGTCTGCCCGCACTCACCTTCGCGATCCGATCCAAACCGCTCACCCCCACCATTAAACCATCCAACTGCTCCCCACATCCACCTGTAGTCCGTTAAAAACACGATCCAACCTGCCCCACCACCCTCTTGTTTTCTATCGTGACTGAAGATGCATCCCCCAAGTCTGAAGTTGAAGAATGCCAGTCCCAAACGAATTCCTTGGCTCCCTTCCCAGTCTGCCCGCACTCACCTTCGTGATCCGATCCGAACCGCTCACCCTCACCCTCAAACCATCCAACTCCTCCCCACATCCACCTCTAGTCCGTTAAAAATGCGATCCAACCTGCCACACCACCCTCTTGTTTTCTATCGCGACTGAAGACGCATCTGACTCACCTGTTTATTGAGAAGATTCTCACCTCACCTTTACAACCTCGTCTACTCGATGTCCCAGTTGAGAACTTCTTCGATGCGCCCACTCCAAACATCGGATCCGTTGACTACGATCACCCACCTGTGACACCGTGGTCAATCCACAAACTTGGACTCTCGTTGCTCCACGCTCCCCTTCTTGTCGCCAACCGTGATGGCATCGGCCATGGCGGGCGGCCCCCCGCCCTTGTTCCACCCTGGTGCGTGTTATCCCGAGAGCTGCGTTGGAAACCCCGCGGTTGCGCCCCGCGGCAGTCGGCGCTAGGCGCGTCAGAAACAAACCCGGAACAGACTACTCTAGAATGGCAAAGGGTTGCAATTTTCTATTTTTTTCTGGGTTGAGGAGCAGTTAATGCCTATGGCAAGTGGCCACCCCAACAGACCGGACAGGACCGGTTCTGGTGTGGGCTATGGAAGCACCACATCCAATTTTCGCAGTCACAGTTGCTGCATCGAATGGCACGGCGCAGACAGATGTCACAGGCTACGTGGCTCCTACATGCTAGAAACACAAAGCCATGTCGACCGCAATTGTAGAGTTTGCGTGTGTGTGTGTGTGTGTGTGTGTGTGTGTGTGTGTGTGTGTGTGTGTGTGTGTGTGTGTGTGTGTGTGTGTGTGCCGCTGCCACTGCAACTTCTGCATCTGCCGGAGCGGATGGTCCACATGCTGCGTCAGACGAAGCAGCTGCAGTCGCTCCATGTGCAACAGTTGCTGACTGCAGCAGCGGGCCCTCCATTTGAACTCCCCAAGCAATCCACCATCACACCTCCCACACTGTTTCTGATTTTTTTTTTTTCGTTTTTGCTCAGAACAGCCTGAATTTTTTTTGAGGGGGTCCCCTAGTGATGTGCAGGCCCCCCGCGTTTTTTTTTGTTTTTTTTTTTTGGCAAAAAAGCCGTTGTCCGGAATCCCAGACAACTCCCCCTTGACCGTCTCCTGGAGACGTCTGGGGGAGACGTCTCCCCATCGGACAGCTGGCAGCCTAGAAAAAACGAGATTAGTTGTGGGTATTGCGGCTATTGCCTACTCTTGTCCTGCGAGACCCAGTAGTCCCTTGGGACAGGGGACTGCTGCGGGGCAGGGCGTTTTTTTAACAGGGCAGGTCTTTTCTGGCAGCGTGGCGAGTAATTGTTTTCTTTCGGGGGCATAGACGGGCACGGGGAGCAATGGGGCATTTCGAAGTACACAATTTCTTCTTTCTTTTTTTTTCGGGTTGGCATTGTCCCTTTGATGCCGCACGGCGTTTTTGTTTTCGACTCCTTTGCCCCCACAGCACGTTTCTTTTTTGAAGGCCCGGTACAATGTCAGGCACGAGCAGCAACGGGGCATTTTGGAGCGTGTATTTCTTTTTCCTTCTCCGGGGTGTCATCGTCCCTTCAATGCCCTTCTCTCTCTCTCTCTCTCTCTCTCTCTCTCTCTCTCTCTCTCTCTCTCTCTCTCTCTCTCTCTCTCGTGTCAATGCCATCACTCACACACAGAAGGAGGTGGCCGAGGAGTGGGATAGGGAACTGGGATGGAGAGAAAGGGGGCAGAGGACGAGCGGAAAAGCAGGAGGAGGAGGAGGTGTTGGACGAAGACGGTGAGGAGGAGGTGTGCGCCGTGAGCGAAGCCGAGGCGGCCAGCCGCTTGTTACAGTATCAAGTTAAGCAAATTTATTAGTGATACGTACTTGGAAGACGACCAGGCAAGCTCCTGCAGCAAATACTACACAAAGAGGACCGCTTGAGGGAACCTGAATAAACACACACGGACACAGATACATACACAACAATAGCTTCAAATGACTGAAATCAATTATCAACCAAGTGCTAGCGAAATGTGAGAAAAACAATTTGAATTCCACGAAGAGAGATGGCACACACAAGCCTCACCGAACACGCACTATATCCACAAGCAAAATCGAAAATTCAGCAAATTGTCAATTTGTCAAATTTCGAATTAATAGTACATACTAAGTGACCAACTGGCCTACCGTCTTCACCCAAAAATAACACCCGGGCGTTATATTCAACTTACCCTAAAAAGATGAGATTTTCGTTTTTACTCACTTTTTTTCAAATAGAACGCCCCTTCGAATAGAACGCCTGGGCGTTATATTCGAATAGAACGCCCGGGCGTTATATTTGAATGTTCCATGGGCAGAGTGCCTTGAAGAGGTAGTATACATGGGTTTTGAAGAGGGTTGAATGGGGTTTTGACTTCCAAGGGGTATATTTTGGCTTTAGTTTTCGTTTTTATTTTTTATTTCCGAGTTTATAAGGAATTCTGAAGTGACCCTCAGCCAAAAGTTGGTCACATTCCAATCCTGGACAACATGTTTTTTTTTTCAGAATTTTCATTTTTTTTTTCCCCCGGAATTTTGGGGCCTCACAGAAGTTACCACAAATTTATTGAACATAACGCCCGGGCATTGTAAACGAATAGAACGCAGGGCGGGCGTTAAATTCGTACACAACGCCCGGGCGTTATTTTCGGGTGAAGACGGTAGCTCAGTTGGTACACCCATGAACTGTTGAGATACAGACGCGAGTGTGAATCCAGATGTACAGTCAGCCAAAAAAAAAAAAAGAAAAAAAAAAGGAAGAAAGTAAAGCATTTCACCGACGCTATGATTGGTGGGTGTTTTCACATGGTTTTCTTTCAGTATTGGTGGGTGTTTTCGCATGGCTTTCTTTCAGTATCGGTGGATGTTTTCACATGGACATTGGACACCAAGAAAAACATCGGCAAAGCGAACAAAGGTGGAAGAAAATCAGCAGAGCCTGAAAGGCCCTGACCGCAAAAGGTAATTACTAACTACCTAGGCTACCTAGTGCTCGGGTGTGCCAACTGATCTGAGCTGGGCCCAACTCGGCTCAGTTGATACCCATGGTATTTTGTTCAGTAGTACGAACTCCCACAAAAAACTTGAAAAGTGCAAATATTTGTTGTCCGGTAGAAAGCACCCCACCACATTGGGAAACTAAAGGGAGGGGAACTCTCCCACATAGTGAAGCCCGTGATGCGGCCAAAGTCCCAAGACCACCGTCTTCCCCTAAAATAAAACACACCGTCATTGTTCCTAACTGTGGCTTGAAATCTGGGAGAACGCTCTAGGGCAGAGACACAGGAATTGAAGACTCACTGCCGGTGGTCAGCCCACAATACCGCATTCTAGGGAAAATACATCAAAAAAAAAAAAAAAAAAAGTCAAAGTGCAGGATAGACGGTAAGTGGCAGCTGACAAACGTAGTCAGTCTGTTCGCAGAATGCGCTGTTTCAGGACCAAACTCTGAAATGCACAGACAGAGCATTCTACAAACAGATTGACTGACTCCTTCGACACCGAAGTGATTTCCAGATCAGTCAAAAAATGCAATTGCTTGCGTGGTCCACAAATAGTCAACGCATGCAACTGTTTGCGTGGTCTACTACAAATGACTGACTCCTTCGACGCCGAAGTGATTTCCAGATCAGTCAAAATATGCAATTGCTTGCATGGTCCACAAATAGTCTACACATGCATCTGTTTGCGTGGTCGACTACAAATAGACTAAGGATGCGACTGCTTGCTTGGTCCACAAATAGACCACACATGCAACTGCTTGTGTGGTCCACAAATGGACCAAGGTTGCAACTGCTTGCTTGGTCCACAAATGGACCAAGGATGCAACTGCTTGCTTGGTGCACAAATCGAGAAAGTCCTTCACAAACGGGCAGTTGGCAAACAGACTAATTCTTTGACCACCGACGTGATTTCCGGATCAGTGAAAACAGACAGACTAAAGTCCACCACCATCAGCAACTGGCGATTTAGCAACAAATAGCTGCTTTATAGACAAAAGCACATTAGACCACCAGTACCTCCAAGCCTCCTTTTCCTGACACGGATTTGAACTGCACAACAAAAAAGCGGGCCGCCAGAGGCACACTTTTTCTCTTTTTTGGCTGGCAAAGCTAACCATTTCGGTCTGCTAGCACTACTCATCCGAAGAACCTGGATTATCGCAATTTCAATTCTCGAGTTAGCCTGGGAGAGGTA